TGTGCATATGTCTTTAGCAGGAGTCAGCAACGTTTCAGAAGTGGTGTGCCTAGTCTTCATTTATTCACTCTAATTTAAGGGTTCGCGTGCCAGTAATACATTTTAATGTTTTTAGAAGGTCTCTTTTATAAGTCTGTAATATAGAACTAAACTATTGTTGTATGTAAAGTAAATAAGGTTTTTAAAATGTTTAAGAAGCTTCATTTAAAATTAAATTAAAATGCAGAGTCGCCTGGACCTGTGGCCAGGACCCAGGCCGTGTGAGTGCCACTGAAAATCAACTCACGTGCTGCCTTTGGCATGCGTGCCGCAGGTTGCCTACCCCTGGTCTTTAGCATTCCTATCACATTGCCTCACATTTTCAGTCAAGATATCCCTGGGTATTGCTTTTTCAAAATTGATTCATTCACAGAGAGAGTGGTATCTGGTTTTTCATAGGATCAGTACCAGCCAAGCAATAGAACAGAGATTTTGGAGGCTGTTTGTAGAATGCAGTTACTGTAGTAACCTTTCCCCTTTGGATTTCCTACTTCAAATCCTAAATTAGACAAGTGGAAATGTGTCTGTCTCCTGGTTAATCTTTCGTGGACATGAACTGCCAGATTAGCGGTGTCTCGTCAGACGCACAGGAGAGAGATGGGGTTGTAATAGGGATACTGAGAATGAGAATAATACACTTGTGGAGTCCAGGGTTAGACCAGAAGGGAGTGGGGGTGCTGCACATCATGTTGGCAGAGCTGAGTGCTGAAAGCTTAAACCATGCTAGAGGTTAGCCAAAGCGATTTGTCCATGATTTTCACTAGCACCAGCTTGTGTGGGTATACACCATACACATCCACAGAAACAGGATCCGCCCTGGACTTGCAGGGTGGTGATGACGATGTGTGGCCTTATGTGTTTTGGGGATTATTGTGTTAGCTCTGCATTTCCCCCCCAGTTTGTGAGCATTAAACTCAGAAGGTGCCCCTACTTCCATGCTTTGTATGTATAAAAGATCTTCTACACTTTCCACAATATGCATCCGATGAAGTGAGCTGTAGCTCACAAAAGCTTATGCTCAAATAAATTGGTTAGTCTCTAAGGTGCCACAAGTACTCCTTTTCTTTTTGCGAATACAGACTAACATAGCTGTTACTCTGAAACCTTCCAAAAGGATGCATCTTACCTGTAATAAAAACTTGTACACTTTTGCAGCTAGCTAGATTGCCCACTAAACACAAGTGACAAAACAAAATAATTATGGTCTGTTAAATATGTGCAGTACTAAAGTATCCTTTCTTTTCCAGATAGGTGTTTTTAACACCAAGGGAATACTTTCATGAGAAGAATAACATCGATTAATTACCTTTTTGTGGTTCTTGGGGATTTAGGCATTTTGCTGCACTCTAAACAGCTTGTTTGCGGATTATTATTTGCCCAGGGTGGAGTGAAGAAGTTCAGTAAAGTCAAGACCTGGCATATAAATTCAAATCCCCCCTAATCAAATATGTATCCTTTGAGTCTCGCCTGACTTCTCAGTGAAATGCAGAAGAAAATGTAATGTTGTTTTTAAAATATGCAGTTATTAAACTTGAATGTCAGAATTCTTTGAATTTCCAAGATTGGTTAGCTGGACTGCTCCAGTATTTTCTCAATGGTATAAACTGTGGAATTAGTATCAGACTACTTTCTACATGGTATATGCAATGCTATCCATATACTCCAGAGGTTTTGTTATAAGTGAATTGATGCACTCTAATACAAATTACTAGATCTAAAAAGTAATCAGCAAAATATTGCTCATTTTTCATTGAGTTAAGGTCCACAGATCAGAACTTTATGGAGGTGGAGCATGCCCCTGCTGCCAGTGACTGGCCAGTCCGGTTCTGCCACCAAGCTGTAAGCCAGCTGACATACCCATTGTATGGATCTATGGACCTTATTACTTTGAGGAAAGGAAATGTATAGCTAAACACGAATACATTTTTCTATTACTTTCTCATAATGTGATTACTTTTGCTTCGTGGGTAAAGGCTGCATGGTGAGCCTTTTGCTGCCACACACGCTCAGGACACTTAGCTGGAAAAAATAACAGAAAGTAATTAATGTTACCTTTCTGCCTGAAAAGTCACAGTTGCTCTAATGAATTACTTAGAACAATCTGAGTCATTCACCTGGTTATAGAATCCATTACTTTATCCACTTTGCATTTTCCTCCAGGTTCTTTCTTTCCAGGATGGCTGCCATGTAACCTTTTTTTCATTTAAATCAGAACACGAAATTATTTTCTCTCTGATGTGGCCTTTGTTTTTCTCTCTTTGGTATGTGTCTTTGCAATATAGACCTTCTCCAACTCAGCTCAGTCTGCTCTGGCACTCCATATCTCTTACCTCTCACAGCAGTGTTCTGACAAGAGTTTGTACTACACTTAGTATTTTTAGCTTGTGTTGGGATTGATGGGCTGTTATGGTTTATATGGGCTTGCAACACATGGGATTATTTTAAGGTTTTGTGTTCCAACAAATATGAAAAACATCATCATAGTGACTGTGTTTTGTATGCTTTCCAGCCAAACTCATAAATCCATCATTGGTAGGTATGGGGAGGGAGGCATAAAACTCAGCCAAGTTTCCCCCCAAAGTCTCACCAACCTCAGCTAACCTTTCAGGGAGCATGGGCCGAATCTCAGGTTTTGTTACAAAAGGTTTGTGCAAATGTAATCCTGGCTTTAAATTGTATCCAAGGCCTGACATTGGGAAGTCTGTGGCCATTCATTAGGCATATTTACTTTTTAAGTCTCTGTTGAATTCATCTTCCCACTGGAGGCCTTATCTCTAGTGTGGGTCAAATAATTTGTTGACTGTAATATATGTTGCAAATTTAGACATGTTTAAATTCAGCAGATGCAAATAATTTGCATTTATTATTCAATAACTCTATAGTTCAGCAAATAATATTCTGTGAATAATACTGTTGGCAAAGTTTGCCATTTTCATGAAATAATTAATTGTAAATACTTTTACTTGTGATTCAGACCCTCCTCTCCACACCTTTTTTGTATAAGGTAGAAACTTACTCCAATCGTTGTGACTTCAAGTTCAAGCAGCCACTAGATTATGGTTGTTATTGCCCTTATTGATACACTGCAGAAATTGTAATACCTCACTCATTTCCAACAAGAGATTGTGATGCCATAAATACAGGACTGGGTTTGTGGCAAGATCAAGAAGATGATACTAGGCAATGGCTCTCTGCCAAGCACTAATAACCAAAATGGTACCAAAAGGAATATCGAGAGAGACTGGCCACATACTGGAAACTACTTTATGTATAAATATTCATATATTGTATTTTACATTGTAAAGTTTGCTGTAGTGTGAAATTAGCTCTTTACAGGTCCTCAGTCTCCAGACTTCCTTTAGTCCTCATAAAGGACAGATTATGGTCTATTGACCATACCATGGTAATGTGCATTGCACAGGTGCCTAGCTAGCTACTAAATCATTCTCTCATAATGCTTCTGCCAGCTGTTGAGAGCTTCTTCCCTCAGGATCCCGCCCATATTTAGTCTAAGGTAAAACATTTTTAAAATTTCCTTTTATGCCAACATTCAGTGGCATGAGGGATAGGGACTGGAAACTATAAATGTACAGTGTGTTTATTAAATGAGATAGTACGAACAGAATAGGGTATCAGTCTGAGGATGTGGGAGGAGGGGAAGATTTATAATTTTCCTCTCACCCTACCTGATTTCCAGGACATGCACTGAAAGCGTTGAGGGCTCTGAGCTCCTGTTCTACTGACATACAGTGCACTCTATGTTTACAGGGCAGTAAAGAAATTAATTTAGCGTATGGCTGAGCTGGATTGTCGTCGTTGGCTCTGTTGACCTTTATTGTAAGTTGCCTTGGGATATTTGTATGCTTAGGCGAACCTATAAATAGCTATAGTATGATGGGAGTGTTATTGCAAAAAAGCGCTTTCCAAAAACAGATTGTCATTTCATTTCCAGGGAGGGAGGGGGAAAGGTATGTGTTAGGCTTGCGAAAAGAAAGGAATTCCCCTCAACACACTCCCACCTCATAGCACTGACTGCTGAAGAAAGAACTTGTAAGATTTTTTTGGTTGTCACCAATCAGGCCATGCTGTCCTGATTTTTGCAGCCCTATAGGTTTAAGAAGCCTAAGTCCTGGAGCAGCCTGGTATTCTGATAGCATGTGCTTCCACACTTGAGGGATTAAAGTTCAGGGCTGATCTTACTTGCTGTTCTGGCAGGGGCTGGGGAGTGTATGGTGGAAGAGCACTCAGCCCTGGGGGTCTGGGAGTGCCTTTGGCTGATGCTTTGAATAACATTTGTGGCCTTTGCAGGGAATACTATCCCTCCTAAGAGAATTTCGGTCACATGGGCTCCAAAGAGATGGAAGTGAAGTGAACGGGGAAAGAAACTGGAGTATATCCCTTGGCGGAGCTCACTGAAAAAGGGACAACATGTGAACCTTTCCTGATCCCAAGGGTTATCTCAGTTTTCTGTGTTAGGTTTTCTGTTGTTTAAGTGGAGTTTCTTTTTCAGATGGCAAGATCGTTTTCTTCCTTTTTGAAGACCTTCCTTCCCCCTTTCAATAAAAGCAACTCAAATCTTCATTTGAGTTGCCAATACAATGAGCCCAACAGCCCTGAAGTAAAGAATAGGAGTATTTCAATGAGTGCAGAAGGCTAAATTTGGCCAATGGATTTTTCCCTTTATGCTTGGGTCTAGAAGGGTAACTGATCTGTATTAAACAGTACTTTTCAGTTATCAAACTTACTTTATTTCTCTCCTAAGCTGCTTTTGCATTCTTCTGACACCCTTTCTGACTTTCCTTCGCCCCTTACCTGCTCCTCTGGCTCTTTACAGCATAATATAACCTCCTAGCACTGTTCCCACCAAACTGAAATTTACAGCTGTGCTGCCTCTGCTGATTTTCCAGACAAAAAAAAAGAGTGCTGTTGTTTTGTTTTTGTTTTTTCTTCTCATCTTGCAGGAAAGCAATCTCCAGGTCAGGCCTCCAGCATCTGGCTCCTCTGCACTCCCTCAACATCGCAATCTCCAATGGGCCAGGGAAGGAGCCAAGAACAACACTAGAATGGAGTGTAGGTGTTTATTTTTAATCATGGCAATTTATCTAAATAACATCTCCTGCCCCTGTTCCCTCTAACCTTCATTATTTACATGGATAGGTAAAGGTGCATGTAACAGGGTTGCGTGTTAGCTCTGCTCACTATGAGCTTGATCCTGGAAGGTGCAGAGAGCTCTGGCATCTATCCAGCAAAGCACGTAAGCACATGAAAAGTCCTATCAGAGTCAATGGGACTGCATATGTTTAAAGTTTAGCACCAGTCCAGCAAAATTACATGCTTGAGTGCTCAGCATCTTGCAGGATCAAGCCCTAAGATGACAACTATAGGTGTATTAGAGAGATTTTATTTCCTTTTGAAGTTGTTTTGTGATTTAGGTCAAGACAATCTTTAAATAAAGACTGGATGTCTTTCTAAGTGATATGCTGTGCCTCAGCTACTGTTGTCTGGCCTGAAGCAGGAATCACTGGCTGAATTTTTTTGGTAGCCTGTGTAATACGGGAGGTCAGACTAGATGATTGCAATGGTCCCATCTAACCTTAAAATCTATGAATTTATAATAGAGTGCAGAGAGGAGTATTACAAAAAAGTTCAGTCCTCTCCGTTTCAGAGATCCTGTGTGGATCCCAAAGGGATTGGCCTTACAAAACCTAAATCCTGCTCCAGAGGAAACGTAGTCACCGATTCAGCAAGATATTTAAACACGTTTGTCTTTAAGCATGAGAGTTTCCCATTGAAGTCAGTGGCACTGCTCATGTGCTTCAAGTTAGGCAAAAACTCAATTAAGTACCTTGCTAAATCGTAGCCTAATACAACTACTTGCACTTTTCAAAAACGGCACTGTACAATGTATATCCTCCCAAGTGGTTTCTTATATAACCTATATAGAAGTGCACTGCCCATCTGTCAAGGGGAACTCATACAACCCGAGGGATATGGTATGTACAGTAAATTCTTTGACGGAGTATTTGGATTAATTTGTATTAGGGTTGGAAAGGACATGTTGATATTTAATCTATTTCTCTATCTGCAAGATAATATTAATAGATTCCTACAGCATCCCTGTTGGTTCTGTCTTGACTTTCCTTTAGAACTTCCAGTGCAGGTGATTCATTGACCTCCTGTGGCAGGTTATCCAATGTCTGACTGACATCATGCCCAAAAAGTGCAGCCTAAATTTGTAGCATAAATGTTTCCTTCCTTAATGTGTCCACAATGATGGCTGAAAATAATTACCGGCTCACACCCTTCATTTTTTGTTAATTCCTTGCTAGTTATTTGTCAGTGTCACATTTGGAAGGCAGGGTGGCCTGGTGGATAGAGCACTTGACTGGGTCTCAAGAAACCTGAGTTCTATTCTTAGGTTTGCCAGTGGCCTATTGGGTGACTTTAGGCAATTTGCTTCACCTCTGTGTGCCTCAGTTTCCCCATACATAAATAATAATGCTGACCTTTGAGATCTGCTGATGACCAGTGCTATATAAGAGCAAGGTATTGCTCCTGAGGTTTTCTTTTCTTCCCCACAGATGTATAAATTCATAGCTTAACCTCACTTTCGTTAGTCACATTTTCTAAACTTTTTATAACTTGCTACCCTTTGGCTTCTCTCTAACTTAGTGAAATCTTTTTGCAGCACTGCTGTAACCTGTATACCCACTGAGGAGCTGCTTTTATAGCCATAGGGCAATGTGCAGTATGCCCTTCCCTAAAGATGTGTGGTGTGTATTCTTCCAGTAGGGCAGCGTTTCTCAAACTGGGGTCCATGGATCCCCGGGGGTCCATGAAGGTACTCCAGGGGGTCCGCCGGCCCCGCTGATCAACTCCTTCCCCTCCCTCCCTCCCATTGCCTCCTGCACACTGGAGAACAGCTGTTCAACGGCATGCAGGAGGCGTTGGGAGGGAGGGTGAGGAGTGGGGACAGAGTGTGCTTGGTGAAGGGGCTGGAATCATGTTGGGGCCATTGGCCCTGCTGATCAACTCCTCCCTCTCCCTCCCAGTGCTTCCTGCACACCATGAAACAGCTATTTCCCAGCATGCAGGAGGCGCTAGGAGGGAGAGGGAAGAGCAGGGATGGGGTGACCTTGGGGTAGGGGGCGGAAAGAGATGGGGAAGAGGAGGGGCAGGGGTGGGGTGGGGCCTTGGGGGACAGGGTAGAGTGGGAGAGGGGCATGCGGCTGAGCAGGGACTTGGGAGGTCTGAGAAAAATTGAAATAAAAATGGGGGTCCTTGGGTTGCTAAAGTTTGACTTGTATGTGACTCCTGCTTCCGATCAGCCCATGCATGATACCAGCCTTCATTGTCCACTTATTAGATTTTCAAATGAGCACCTCTGTGCATTCTCTCATGCTGCCCCACACGCTTGGGAGGAGTTCCCTATGAACATCCACAAAATGAATTCAGTATGCTCCTTCAACAGGTTCCTTAAAACGTCCCTTTTCTATGATTCCTACAAAAAATTAACAACAGTTAGGCTGCTGATATGCTGATATGACTGGCTATCATGTTGGCCAACATTGTTTCTTTGTACTCCCCTGTCTGTTTATCCGTCTGTTGTCTCTTGTCTATACTTAGATTGTAAGTTCTTTGGGGGCAGTGATTGTCTTTTTGTTCTATTTGGAGTCCTACTCCATGACTAGGACTCCTAGGCACTGTGGTAATACAATAAATAATAATAATAATAATAATTAGTAATATGTAGTGTATAGATCTATGATATATGTTCTTTGAAGGAACACTCTTTTGGCCTTTGATTGTATGATACACATCCTTTAAAGGGGCAGTTGGAAGGACTTATAGATATATAGGGTCCACTTTTATATCCTTTGAAGTAGCAAAATTCAGGATTGGACCCTCGTGTACATTCTGTGAATGGACAATTTATATAGACCTATGGAGTACGTTGAGTGTTCTTTAGAGGGAAACTATTATAACCTTCTGGCCATGTTATACAGTCTTGTGGAAAGGTCCTGTAGAAGTTAATAGGAATGAAACATGTAGGATTCTATTCAATAGAAATAGGATTCTGTTGAAATTATTTTAAAAACCAATGTAATATAATAGAGGATGGTATCATTTCGTAGGCTTCTGTTTTTAACTGCCCATACAGGATTGTTTGGTAAGACTATGCAATTTAATTAAGAGTTTTAGATGTTTAAAAAAGTATAAAAAGGTTATTTTCCCTATTCAGTTATATAGGACTTTTCCATAAGGGTGTCCATATTGCCCATTGGTTGTATTTACACCCATGCATGTGACTCTGTATGCTTCCATCATACTCTGCCTCTTTTTGGTATGTGGTTCTAGCCAGAGCTATTGGCTCCTTATCTTAAAGAACAATGGATTGAAATATGTTTGTGTATTTGTATATATTGATATTCTACATTTATATATACATAAAATGTAGTGTATCAACTCTAATCCCACTGGTATTGACTTGTCACAACAACATTAATCCAGATGAATGCTTTTCTTTTCCATGTCTATGGTCTCCCTTGTAAATCATCATTTCATATACTCCATTAATTTGTACACTGAATGATGTCTCTTCCTATTAACCTTTCTGCAAAATGAAGTCTTGTAGTTGGGAATTGAGTCTGCAGATGGGAAGAGACATACATCATCAGAGGCTCATGAGTAGGGGGAATCCTTGCATGTGGCTATGTCACTACCCCTTTTAAAAAGTGGAGCGTGGTTTAGCTAACTGCTTCTTTAGCTCTCACATCAGGAAGTAGTAGTGAATCCAGTCTTCCCATATAGTTAAAAATCACTGAGATTGTGTATAGCCTGTATTTGAAGACATTTTTTAGGATGAGCAATTATTTTTTGCTGTTTCTCTTTCAGCATTTTAGACTTGATTCTGATCAACAAGGCAGAATCGGTTGCAAATCTGAAGGGGGTCACAATTTCGGTGAAAGTGATCATGAAATGATAGATTTGATGATTCTAAGGAAAAGAAGGAGTGAGAGCAGGAGAATAAGGACAAAGGACTTTAAAAAAAAGCAGATGTTAATAAACTCAGAGAACTGGTAGGTAGGGTCCCATGAGAAGAAAATCTATGGGATAAAGGAGTTCAGGAGAGCTAGCATTTCTCAAGGAGACAATATAAAAGGCTCAACTGCAAACTATCCCAACAGGAAGAGGCCAATGTGTGTCCTTTAGGTGCTGTTTAATTACCTAAAAATCAAAAAGGTATCCTACAGAAAATGGACACATGGATGAATTGCTAAGGAGGAGTACAAAAGAATAACACAAGCATGAAGGGGGAAAACCAGAAAGGCTAAGGCACAAAATGAGTCAAATCTAGTACGGGACATAAAAGGCAATAAGAGGAAGTTCTGTAAATACATTAGGAGCAAGAGAAAGATGAAGGAAAGTGACAGTCCTCTACTTAGCAGGGAAGGAGAGCCAATGACTGATGACATCAAGAAGGCTGAAGTGTTTAATGCCTATTTTGCATCAGTCAAAATAGGGAAAGTACACGTTAAAGATATTTAGATAAGTTAGATGTATTCAAGTCAGCAGGGCCTGATGAAATTCATCCTAGGGTACTTAAGGAACTAGCTGAAGCAATCTTGGAACCATTAGCAATTATCTTCAAGAAGTCGTGAAGGATGGGTGAGGTCCCAGAACACTGGAGAAGGGTAAACATAGTACCTATTTTTAAAAAGGGGACCAAAGAGGACCCAGGGAATTATATACCAGTTAGTATAACTTTGATACCTGGAAAGATACTGGAAGAAATTATTAAACTTTTAAAATTATTAAATTAAAATTGTAAGCACATAGAGGATAATATAGTTATAAGGAATAGCCAGCATGGAGTTGTCAAGAACAAATCATGCCAAACCATCCTACTTTCCTTCTTGGACAGTGTTACTGACCTAGTGGCTGGGGGGGAAGCAGCTGATGTGCTATACCTGGATTGTAGTAAAGCTTTTGACACCATCCCACATGACACTCTCATAAGCAAACTAGCGAAATGTGGTCTAGATGAAATGACTATAAGGTGGGTGCAT